TTCACTGACCCATCTACTATTCACCTGTTGGTCTGCTAATTGTGGCCAACAAAGCATCGGAACTCCCGCACTAGCCACAGAAAAGGCTTACCACTGTTGATCAAACCGTGCCAAAACTCTAGTAACTGGACGCGTCTCAACTTTGCCAAATTCCCAAAGCTGACGAAAATAACGGACCCCAACTGTCGAGCCACGCCATGCAACGTCGGTCTTCGTGGCGCAAGGAGGAAACGGAGGATGATAGATCGTCTCCCACGCGAGATTTGAGAAGGGCGTGGAAAGGGCCTAAGGTGTAAATTTTGAAAGTTGGGCGGGCAATAGGCATTCTGCAAAAACTCGGTAGATCCCTTCGTCGCAGAAGACCTTCCATCCCTGGAATGTCCCTAATCGGCTGATCCATATCCTAATCTGTTTCAACACGAGAAGCATATATATAGTGTTCAGCTCAAAAAACACTGGTACAGTATACTCGCAAGGATACAAAATACATCTGAACTAGTAAAAACCAGTTTCACATAGGAATTATTTTTAACATTTCAAATTATCATTGTGAACTCGCTTTTTTTTTTTTTGCACTAACAAGAGCATTTGTAACTTTTCAGAGATTTGTTTAACATAAAAATGCTTTCACCAAGAGAATTTTGTCCTAATGGAAAATGATCTTAGCTAGTATATAACATTATTGTCAAACCATAGGTCCGTTAGATAATTTTTTTATTTTTATTTTTTAAATCCGTGCCTATTGCACAACATAATTAAAACAAAATAAATCCAAACCCATAAAATACCAAAACTACTCCACGCAGCTTGTGTTCGATGAATATATATACTGTGTTTACATTCATCACGGAAATACATACTTATCACCAAAAACACATGCAACAAATATATGGATAAAAGGAAGAAGACTGTGTGCAAGAATCGAGAAACTCTTGTTTGTTTCTTTTGCAAAAGAAATTCCTCTATTTACTTTTTTTTTTTTGTCAAATGATAGATTTTGTTAGATTAGTCACCGAACTCACGCTATTATGCAAGTGCTCAACACCTATTTACATTTGTTGGTTTTGGTAGGTTAGGAAATAAATTAGGAGAGAGGCTGCTTCCGTTTATTATTATCTCTTCACACACCTTACGTGTAGCAAAATATCGAGCCTAAGACATGAATTATAACTTGAATGATGTGAAACATGTGTTAAGTGCTTTCACGTACCATTATGAAAGTTATACGTTTTATTCAAAATCAATTAGTAACAAAAAAGTTTGCCAACTTCTCATAACTCATGAAAGATTTCTTAATTATCTTAAGCATTACATCCTCTCAACTCAACAATTGGTGATTTTTTTTTTTTTAACAAACGATATTATCTATATTAAGGGGTGGAGCAGTGGGCTAACTAACAATAAACTAGCAATAATATGGTTCAAATTCGTCTTTGGCGAAAATCTAACTTAAGATATCTCACTTACAAGTGAAGATGAATACTACTAAACCATAGTACTAAGTGGTAATTTGAATACTGAATAGGAGGTTGGTTATATGAATATGGGGCTACAATGTTACATAATACCTAGTGGTATGAGTTTAATGTGCCGTTGCCAAAATTCAATCAATCTCTCGTTCAAATTTAATCGTTAATTTTCTAGACCACTCAGTAATACATACTATGGAAGAAAACTGATGAACTGAGCATATGTTTTGGTTCATTTCCTCCTCGCATAATATTGCCAAATCTGCAAACCAAAAGCCTAAAAAAGGCAAGAGTAGCTTGGAGTTAGAAGAAGCTTTTGTGGTCCTTGTGTTTTTATTTCAGCTTTTCACTTAAGTTATGCTTTTTGTCTTTTCCCTTTAATCATAGACACAAAGGTCTTGTTTCACTACGCACAAAAGGGCAAATACCAAATCAAAAATGTAAAGATCGCCCACATAGTAAAGTTCATCGGAAGAAATACTTGATTTTTACACCTTTATTTTCTCCTTCCGTGCTCATTTTTTCTTTTTCCAGCTAAAACTAATGGATGATACTATTCATACATCCATTTTTACGTCTCATACATCTCTGTTAATTTCTGTCATTTAATATTTTTCAATTTATTCAATCAAACGATCGAAATTTGAGAAAAATGTGTAGAAAGTAAAACAATGTGCGTGGATAGCACCACTCAAATTAGTAATCGAAGATACAAGAAAATGAATGCAAAATAAGAAACTGAAAGTGTGTGAACATGGCTACCCGAATAAGCCCAAATTTGAGTATGACAAGGAGAAGCCACAAAGAAATGGAAATAATCCCGGAAAATGAAATGAAATGGGTCCAAGTTTTTTTTTTTCACACATTTTAATTGAGGTAGGGTTTTACTCTTGTCGAGTATTGTATTAGTAGGGCGTGGTCCATGCCTGTGACAGTGTTGAAATTTGAGGCATGAATAATGGAAAGTCAAGCCATTCACAGGGAACCTGCTTCTTTCATGATCACGGTCATACTGCGAATATATTGGGATTCATTAATCAAAGACTTTGTCTAATCCACACTGTATCATTCATTCTCTTGCTTTTGTTAGCTATTCTTATTTTATTTACTTAATTTTAAGACTAGAAACGAGGAGGAAGAAAAAAATGAAAGTGCAAAAATCAGTTCTCATAACTCTCTCTTTGATTATAAGGTCATGGGCAAAAGATTGTTGGGATGGTTAAAGGAGCGTAAACCGACGAACTAATCCGAGCAATTTAGTTTGGTTTTTACATTATAAGGTGAAATTATAGATTGAGTTGGGTTCAAAACCTATTTGAGACAGCCAAAACCAAATCAAATTTCTTCCTTAAATTTTATTCTTAATTGTTATTATTTTTTACTCTTATGTTATGCGAATTTGACGTGATCTCTCTCTCTTTCTATGTCTCTCAGGGTTAACCCATATTTGATACATGTAATATTTCCTTAATTGCTTATGAAGAGAAATGGTAGAACCAAATCAAACCAAATTGAGTAATTCAAACTCATCTAAATTTGGACGTTACAATGTGTAATTTAAAGTCTAAATTGAACTCGATTTGTAATTTGAGACCTACACTAAACCTGGTGTGTAAAGTAAGGCCTAAACTGAACTTCTATCCTAAAACCCCTCAACGACTAGACTTAGGTTTTCAGCCATCTGTTCAAACAATCATCTATACCTTTGAGATTAACACAATTGATTTTTTTTTATTGATTGAATAGGTTATTCCTTTTGTTTACCGTAGTATTAGTTGTACTTCTTTTCTCTTCGTAACGAGTAGTCATTTTCACATTAGCATAATCTATTCTCTAATAGCATTTTCTTCGCTTGGTTAGATTCCTACGCAAAAGAATTCACCATGAGTAAATGAGTATTCAAAAAGAGGCAAGAAAGAAAGAAGCTAAGCTTCACCCAATCGTCCAATCAAATCTTGAATTGTGCACGCCTAACCTCTTGGGTGTCATATTTTCGCTGAGTTTACCGTACCCTCAACTCATACATTACATTTTGATGCATAATTTGAGACTTAAGCTAAATCAGAATGAACCATATTCATATTTTATCCGATATAAATCAACCAAAATGAGACCATGGTAACTTTATCTTTGTTTGATGGTTTCTAGGACAACATATATACAAATGGATATGTATACATTGGGTGGATAAGGGAGAGAAAAACAACTAAGGTTAAGTCCAAGTTAAGGAACCTTAAATCCGAATAAAACCAAAACAAATGAAGAAAAATCCCAAACATTGTCGTAATCCTAGTCATAGGCCAGGTGCCTAAAGCCATAAGCCCACCTCCAATCAGAGAGGTCGCTGACATAGCCAAGGGAAGTTTTCGGGCCCCACACATTTCATAGGGATCCGCGATGAGGGAAGAAGTCTCCTTGTGGGACCCCCGATAGCCACCTCCCCCTACTATAATGTGACCCCCCTTCAACATCATAGCCTCATACCTATACACTCTTCGCTCCATCTCAGCCGTCCGATCGAAAAACCCTCTCTCTCTTTCTCACACTCCCCCCTCTTTCTCTCTCTAGCTCAGACTGACAGAGTCAGCAAAAGCACAGTGACAGTGTGAACGTTGCAGATTTGTCTCTGTCCTCTCTCTCCCCTGAATGCTCGCCTCCTCCGCCTCTGGCTGAACGAAAACGAAGCCTTTCCCACGCACGCGGATCCCAACAACGGCCAATTGAACCGGAACCGCTACAGCGGCGGCGCTCGCGGCTTTTTTTTATTCTGGCGGTAAAATTTTCTTTGCTTATAATCTACGTTGCTTCGTGGTTTTTTTTTACTCTTTTTTGTTACGTTTCGGATCTGTGTTGGAAACGACGCGTTTCGGAGAATGCGTCTCGTTGTGAAAGGAACTTGTGCTTTCTTTCGTTTCTAGAAAGTTCGTTGTGAAACATGTCATTCCATTTGGAATTTTTTGTGTATTTTGTGCTCTGTTTGGTTGCCGAGAAAGTGGAAGGAAAATAAAGGATGACCTGGACGAGGAATCGTTTTTGCTTGAAATGTCGTTGCTCGTGATTGGAAACTTGCGAAAGTAAAAAGCTTTAGCTTGGTTCTTGCGTGTTTTGCATTTTCCTACATTTTCATTGCAACCAAACAGAAAACAAAGGATTGAAGTTTGTTCCTTTCTGTGTGAGCTTTGTTAGATCTATGAGTTTCTTGCTTTCAATGTGGCATTCATGTGCTTTGATCTTGCATTTAATCTTGGAAATGTCATATTTTTAAGATGAAATAAGAGTCTCTTATTTTGTTCTTAATCTGTATAATTTGTGACAAAATTGGAATGTGATATCATTCTTCGCTGTATAACTGCCATCCGATTGCGATTCTTCAAACAAAATTGTTCTTAATACCGTAGTCTTTCAGCCGAATTTTAGATCCTGGCAAATTTTCGCAATGGTTTTGTCGGTAATGTGTGAAAGTGAAGCTCGAGAGTTATAATGCAATCTGATTGATGTCTAAATACTGGCTTTGTAGAACCTGCTGAAGATATGGGAAGTACCTCAAAAGTGCAAGACAATGTTGTGCAGCGCCAAACCAGGCGAAGAACAAGACATGTAGAGAAGGCGAAAGTGAGAACTGTTGTTGGTTTGCAGCAGAATGATGTGCATTATAAAGCAAGAAAAGATGCAGGTGATGATGCTGTGGGCCAAGAAAAGTCTTCGGGAAGTCGAAATGGGAAGGGGAATGATGCAGCTAAAGTTGATGAGCTGGTCAGGCACATGTCAAACTTGCCCGGTTATCTTCAACGCCCTGCGAGAGGATAAAAAACCAAGAGAAGGTTTTGAATGTTGGGGTTTTGGATTGGGGTCGACTAGAGAAATGGAAGCACAAGCAGAAGCCTTTTCCTGAAAAAGTTAGCGGCGGGTCATCCTTGGAAAGGGCTATTGGATCATCTACATCATCTGTTGTAGTTCGCAATGGGACAAATGCTGAGCAACCCTCTTCGCGTTCTAGTGTCAAGTCGTCTCAAAAGAACGGCCTTTTGCAGGGTGTCAAACCATCTGTCCGTAAAGATATGCGCTTCCAGGACTCCAAAACTGCTTCAAAGAATGCCATTCATGGGCAGAAAAAGATATCCTTTCCCAGGTCTCTTGGAAGAAATCACTCAGATATGATGCTTGATAAGGGGAAGGCAAAATATTTAGATAAGAAGTTCCCTTCAGAAATGGGGAATGCAGCAGCAAACTTGAAAAAGTATGGAGTGTCATTTGGTCCAAAGGACAAGGTGGGCACGGGGGATGGTCGAGCTATGGAAACAGAATCAGATATCAAGAAGAAAAATAATGATCAAAGAATCACTACGGAAAAGGAGCTCCATCGCCTAGATTCAGAAGTTATGATGCCTCGCTGAGTTCAAAGGGAAAGACAATTGCTTGTAATGATAAAACTGAGAATAGGTGGAAGAATTGCACATATCAGACATCAGCACAGCTCATCAACACTGCCCTGCTGCGGAGAATACCGTTGTTCTCTCTCCATCAAAGGAACTGCCCCAAAATGACTTTCCGGAGGTCCTCCAGCTTTCACAACCAAGAGCATCAGGGGATGAGTGTATGACAGAACCTGATAAGATCAGCTTCTCGGGAGACTTTTCTACCAAGGAGATGGACTTTGCAGAACTCTGTTCTGAAGTTCCACACTCATGCCCCTTGCCTTCTGTAGTTGACACTAATACAGGATCAAACATGGTGCCAAATAGCTCAATCAACGGTAAGAGTGCAGTGCTTAACTTTGTCCCAGCTCACATGCGCCGATGCTCAAACAAAACACAAGACCTCCTATATGAAGATAAATTTGTACAGAAGAACAGTTCAGAGAAAATGCTAACTCGTTCAAGTTTTGAAACTTCAAAAACATTGGATCAAGAAGATGTTGAGCTAGCAACTAGAAAAGGCAGAAGCCCAACTCCCAATCGCCGGTTTAACTTCAGCTTAGAACGGCTTGGTAGAAGTTTAAGTTTTAAGGAAAGTTCAGATATTCCGCAGTTAAGTTCCACATATCTGACAGTCAAATCAGGTCCTGTGAGATCCGGAACTTCTGATTGTTCAGATACTCCAAACAGAGAGAAAGCAAGTACTCATAACCGAGCTAGGTCAAGCCCGTTAAGAAGGTTACTAGACCCAATTTTAAAGCACAAGGAGGCAAATCTACACCATTCTGCTGAAGCTGTTAGACCCCCGAAATCACTTTTTAATTCCTTCGTCCCCAAGCCAATTAATATCAGCGAGTCATTACAGAATCTGAAGGCTGAGGCATCATGGGTTAAAGCATCTTTGCAAATAACAATCAAGAATGGACTTCCTTTGTTTAAGTTTTGGGTTGACAACATCAACTGTTTTGCGGCAACCATGAAGAATTTATCATCTGGGAAGGATGACTTCTGCCAATATTTTACATTTTACTCTATTAATGAAGCCAAGAGAAAAAATGGTGGCTGGATGAGTCAAGGAAGTAAAGGCAAAAGTTGTCGCTATGCCTACAACGCTGTTGCTCAAATGAAAGTTTCTAGCTCCGACTTATCTGATGTTAACGGGCAGGACTTAAGCAAGTGTGGGGTAAGAGAGGCTGTTATGTTAGGTGTTGATCTAACACAAGCAGATCTAGAATCACCAAGCGTCGTATCACATGTGGAGCTTGCTGCTGCCGTTGTCAAGTTACCTAGGAAAGACTTGAGCCATTCTGAACAGCAGCGTGACGAGGAAGTTATGGTATTGAAGGGCTGCGCCAAAGATTCATCCGAGGATATCTGCTCTTTCAGCTGGGAAGATAGTACTATAGTCATACTTCCAGGTGGAGTCCATAGCTCACCGAACAAAGGAGCACCTTCACCATTACTTGAACGTTGGAAGTCTGGTGGGTTATGTGATTGTGGAGGCTGGGATGTTGATTGTAAGCTGCGTGTTCTCTCCAACCAGAACAAATGCTGTCAGATTCCGAAAACATGCTCCGCATGTTACCCTTTTCCGGATACTTTTGAACTATTTGCTGAGGTATGATTTTTGGTTTCTGCAAATCACTGTCTATATTACACATTTGATGGTGGTGTTTTAGCCAATTTACATGTTGAATTTGTATTTTTCATTTCAGAAGGGAGCTCAGGAGAACAGGCCAATTTTCAGTTTGGCACCAGGGAAGGATGGAAACTACTCGGTTGAATTCAACACGTCACTTTCTTTGTTACAAGCGTTCTTCAGCTGTGTTGTCGTAATCAGCAGTTGCAAACCATTAGATCTTTCAGAAGTTAATAACGTGACAGAAGCGAAAGATTTCCAGGAACCAAATTTGAATCAAAGTAATGGAATCCAGGTGACAGGGCCGGCAAAGTATGCTCCAAATCCACCCATGTCCCCTGTTGAGAGGGTCTAGCTTTGTCCGAGGAAATCCTTTTTGCTGTTCGAGTCCAACAATCGATGGTTTCAAACACGTCAGGAAACATCTCGTAGCCAACAAACCATTTGTCGTGTGAATCCATGGATGCTCAAATTTTTAGGAAGACTTGCATGTTGTTACAGAAAACATGTATGAGCACGGCTGTTGCTCTTTTTGTGCTGGTTTTACTGCATTACCATGTGTAAAGGGAAAAACTCAAAAACCGTTCTTCGAAATGATGGTGTAAATATGCCTATGCTAGGGCATTTCAGATATGATAGTACAAATTCTCCACGCTAACCAGTTCTGTTTAGATGACGTCATCGGACTTCAAGCCGTTCCTCGTCTCATCCTTACACATCCTTGTTTATTATTAGTTTTTAGATTGAATAAATCAAAGGAGAGCGGAAATAAACAGGAGCGTGTAAAAGGAGAGAATGGGTGTCCGGAAATCATTTCCGGCTCAGAAATTTGGAAAGTAAAGGTTCTCAAAACCAGAAAAATATAGTTAACCGAAATTCGAAAATGCGATATAAGCAGGGAAGTCGTACATTATAAATGTATTCTAGTTTGTAAAATTCACAAGTCAAGAACTGAAGCATGGTGAATACAGATAAACCATTTACCATCAATTTTCTCAAACACATTTGTTGCAAACTGTCCCCCCCAACTGCTGCCCTTTGTCTTAACCAATTCCACACAAGAAACATACCCGACATCCCCTCTAACGTAAACATTAACGTCTTTCAGCTCGATCTCTAGTGGAAATTCGTAGTTTGCCCACACGTAGTCCCAGCTAGTCATAACATCTTCGTAACCGTAGATTCCACGTGCACCCGGGTGCACGCAACAGACTTCTTTCCTTTGGGCCCAGAGGGCTTGCATGGCTGCTAAATCCCCAATCTTGAATGCCTCATAGAATTGTGCATTTGCTGCTCTAACAGAAGTTAGACTATCCTGCATCAGAAGTTTGAGGCTGTCACGAATCTGTGCTGCTTTGGCATAGTTCTCCTCTGCAATGGCAATGTCTAGATCACGCTCTAAAGTTTGTGCATCCAATATGATGCTTTCGCCGCTGCTTGAGCTTTCCCTTGAGTCCTCGCCCTTCACATTACATGGTTTTAGTGACCGCAATCGAGAGGCCTGAACAGAGGATACTGCACTGAAAAAGTAAGAATTAAAAGTATTCAAACTGACGCTACATTGCATTAAACGTCAATGTACTCCAATTTATGGGTCACGTCCTAAACAAAGGTGCTCAAGAAAAGCATATAGTTTATAGCTGCAGAGATAATAAACTTACTGGACTCTTCAGTTCGCAATTTGAGCTGATGATAACCAGGAAAGAACGGAACTTTGTACCCCTTTTCGAAAGTCCTTGCCACAACTAAATTGTTTTTCCTTGAAGAGAGTGAAGAAGGATGATGAAGCATCTCAAAAGTATAAAAGCAGGAACGCGGCAAGCGATTAAGCTCCCTAAGAGAAACATTGCCCTAACAACATAAAGATCGAAGTAAGTACAAACCACACAACCTTTAAAATCGGCATCGAAATAAGAATGCAAACAATAACAAAGGATTTTATTAACAAATTCAAACATAATCCACTCGTTTCTTTCCTAATCTTGAAAAACTCAATCGAAATATGAGATTCCCAACACTCAATCATGACATGGAAACTCGGAACCAAAGTGAGCTCGTATCAAATGTGAGTTAGGTCAGTTCATTAGAGCAATGCGCCCGCCACATTGCACCAGAGTTCGAATCCCCTCCCCATACATTAGAGCAGTTTACAATAAAATTGTACCTTTGAAAAAAAAAAAAATTATATGTATGCAAAAATAAGCGTTCTTGGTTTAATCACCATGCATCACCCACTTTGAAGCTAATTAGTAACCTAATTAAATGTTAGGAACCAATCTTTTTTCAAAACGGGGAACATACAGAGCAAAATACAAACTAAACGACATTGATATGTAAGCATAACTCACATTTACGCAGAAGCTAGATCCATGGAGCGCCATGAAGACAGATGAATTTCTGCAATCCAAGCACAACCCAGAATTATATGATTAGAAATATGAAAAGGGTAGGGATAAGGATTTAGGGTTAGGGCTTAGACCTAGGGTTTTGAGCTGTCGGAGGCTCCCGCTTTTAGGCTTTCCGCACGGAGAGAGTTTTCCGCAGGAACTGGAAAATTTAGAGTGGTGCGGAGGGCGTTTGAGGGAATAGCAAAATTGGCCCAATAAGAAGATAAAATGGGCCAAGCCAGGTTTGTTTGAGCCTGGGCCTTAGCTTTAGACCAACTCTGGACCTTCTAGAAAATAGGTCGTTTTCTTTCTGGAAACAAAGAGGAATTTTGAAAGAAACTTCCGAAGACAAATTACAAGTTAGCTTAATCGTGTAATGGCTCCAGAACATTCTAAGAATTTTAAATTTGTGGCTTAAAAATATTAATTTAACTAATTCTTAAGAAAAACTTCATTGACTTGTTAAAATTTTACGTGTCGTTATATTAAAAAATGTATTTAAACTTATAGAACATTTGGAAAAAATATTTAATCAAACATAACAAGAAAAAAAAAAACGTACCAGAAATCCAAATGTATCCATATTAGAGGTAATCAAACATACCTCTAATAAAATTGTAGAAAAAATATTTAATCAAATTCTTAAAAGAAATAGATGTTTAATTAACGAAATTGAAAAACAAAACGCTACTTAAATATTAAATATATCCATTTGCTTTGATTTTTTGTTATATTTTTCTAGGAAATTTCAATTGCTCAAACTTGCTTCATTGACAACCAATTTTCTTGTCATTTAAACTTGGAGGGGTGGACTAATCCCACATTCTCACATGGCATGTTTGATATGACTTATCAACCCCCAAGATTTCTATACAATCAAACTTTATATTATATGTGTGTCGTTTTGTGAAGAACGCCATCCGGACATTCAAAGTCTAGATAGAGATGTGGTCAAAATTGGAAAGCTCTTGAAGCTTTCATGGAACGAATGGCATCTAGTAAACCGGAGATTTTTGGCTTATTCTCAGAGATATGTTTCTGATTGTATGCTACAATCTCCGGTGGCAAATACTAGATGTCAGCCTAGCCTTATACAAAACGGGAAATGGTAAACACACATATTTTTTATCTTCTCATACATTTGTTTTAACTTCTGGTCGTCGAATTTGATAAATCAAACAAATCAACAGACTTGGTTTAACAAGAGTATGTGAAAAGCTAAAAAAGTGTGCTATTATTTCTTTATAAATTTCTAATTTTGCCCTTGACCTAGTCATGTAACGAGTCTTGCAAGTCATGTGATGAGTCTTAAGAATATAGAGAGGTGGGGATAGGGGTATGTAGGTGTCTCCCAAACTTATTATTTGGCAGACAGTGGGATTTTCATCTTTTGCAAGGTTGCGGGCAAAAGAGGGTACTCATAAGGAAAAAGTTTGAAATAATTTCACCCAAAATTGTGGAATTGCAGAGTACGTATTTGTTAAGGTAGTAAATTGACTATTCGTTGTGCACCACCAAGTGGTTTGTTAAGTTGTCCCCTTGCCTTGCCTAGCTTTGACACCAAGAAGCTGATGAAGCCTAACAAATGGAAGACTACATCATTGCCCATTCAACTACATCAATGAGCCAATAACAAGCCTCCCAAAACTCTAGAATTTTTAAAGTGATATGTAAATTATCGTTCGACGCTAGTTATCAAAGTACAGACTACATAGTAAAAAAAAAAAAAAAAAAACTGTAACTATGACTATGAATAACATTACCAAAAACCATCAGAATCGCATTGTTTACTGATACTTATACTTGTACCAATATTTTCGTAAACTCGAACTACCAACATGTGTAGGTGATATTCTCATCTCTATGTTGTAACAAAATTAGGGTTTTGGTAGATGGGTAGAGCTAATTATCTAATAGCTATATATGTTTTGAACCATTCTTTGCCATACAATAATTAATTGGCAATTAAATTTACAAAATTTTATCGAAAAACTTCCGGTACTGTTCACTTTAATGAAAAACCACATTTTTACACTTAAAAAAAAAATCAATCATGGTACTATTCACTTTACCCTTTATTTTGTCCTTATCGTTAAAATTCAAAGTTTTCAAACTATTTTATTAGTTTTCTTTTAAATCTAATTTAATAGCACTAATAATCTATACTATTATACTATTATTAAGAGAACCCTCATTGTCAACTTTTCACCACTCTTTTTCCTATTTTGCCCTCACTTTTGATACACAATACTTACGTAAGGAAGGCAAAATAGTAATTTTGTATCTTTTGCCCTTTTTTCTTATTTTGTCCTCACTTTTGATACATAATACTTACATAAGGAGGGTAAAATAGTAATTTTGTATCCTTTGATAAAATGGCAATCATATTCCTATTTTTTCTATTTTACCCTCACTTTTGATACACAATATTTACATAAGAAGGACAAAACAGTAATTATGTAATATTAAGATAAAATATGCACTTATTAAGAAAAATTGTCCCATCATTATTTTTTTATACTTTTTCTAAAATTTTAAAAATAATCACACTCCTTAATAAAAAAACAAAAAATAAAATAAAATTATTCACACACACAAAATACGTACTCATCGACTACAAGCAAATTAAGGAAGGGCACGTAGATACATATGGGAATTTGGGCCTCCTTGGCACGTGACACGTTGCAATCACGTGGAAGAAGCCGCCATGGCCGTTTCTTGTCTTCAACCTTAACCCCCAACGACGTTCGAGTCTTTGACCAATCATTCACTCATATTGATTAGGATCCCCCGCCTAATTTCAGTCCATTTTGTTCTGCCCTCCTCACGTTGCCATGGTCATATGACCAAACTACCCTTTCCTATTTACCGTTTTATTTTCTGTTGTATTATTGAGATAATCAGAGCAATAGTTCCCAAATGTCAACTTAATTGGAGCTTTGGTTGGTTATTGAATAAAAAATTCGTGAATATTGGGTCCTGAACTTGCCATAACTTCGTTAGAACTTCCATTCATTTTTTGTCCAATTAAACTCTTTATTTTGGATGGAAGTTAACTAAAGAACCATTACTATACATTATAACAAGTCAAGAGACCACTCTTTACAAATTTATAAGTCATGGATCAAACTTCAATTAAGCCGAATTTTAAGGACCAATTACTTCAATTTTCTAAATTAGATCTTAGACGTTGGATTCAAAGAATTTACAAAACACATGAAATAAATTTTTATAAATAATTTTAGCCGTTAGATTTAAATTTGGATAGTTCCATCTTTTTTTACCGTTAAATTTGATCATATTAAATCTTAACCGGTGGATTTAATGAATTTATAAATATAAAACTAAAAAAATACACATATATTGTGGGTCAGCCCACTAACACATGAAGTAATTATGGGCTAAATTTACCCAAAAAAGAGTTTTCCGTTAAAACTCATATTTGGCCCAAGAGTTGGAGCAAGTTGGGATAGGGTTAAAATCTAAAATTTGAGTTTACGACAAGGGTTGGAGTATGTCTTAGAAATGAAACCAATTACAGTGTACAACAACCACAATATCAAGTAATGCTAAGTAGACTAAATTTGCAAACTAAATAATGTGTTACTAATAAAAAAATAAGCACGTTGATCAATACTTAGTAATAATCCAATCATCAACTTTTATGTCATTTAGTTTACAAAATTTAGTCTCCCTAACATTACTCATAAATATTATATAAACGCATCAACCTACAGAAAAACAAATCCAATGTAAAACATTTGAAAATATTCTCATCAAGTGGCCTCTTGAGTAACACATTTGATTCATGTCCAATAAGTGGCCTTATTACACCCTATTTGATTATTCTAATACATGACTTCATCGCCCATCTATCCAAGGGTGTGCGGAAACAAATTGATATCAAACTCATTATTTATGATATGCGGCATTACGAGATTGATTAAAAATCTTATCCCAATTTAAACATAATATTATCTTTTTATTTATGCAACTGCCTGGATAATTTATTTACAAGATGAAAATGCACCTAAACAATTACTATTCATTAAGACAATAATTATCTATTATCCATTTAGCTAAGCTATCATTGGCTAAAGAGTGAAACTGCTTTTAAGTGCATCTATCACAATAACTGTATTTCTTCGTCTTTTTAATGAAATTAATCTTTTCGAACCAAGAAAAATATGGCGCAACAAAATAAAAAATCAATACAAAATACAAATAACAACAATCCCATAAATAACTGAGCAGCAAAAAGAAAGAAAAATGAAACTCCAAATCCGAAAGCTCACTGAAAATGGCAAAAGAAGTTGGAAGTTGGCTGGTGCCAAAATACACCTAGTTCGACAGACATGCTAATATGCTACACCAATATTATTTTTATTTATTTATGTGTTGGACCAAAAGTAAATTATATTCACGTTATGTGGACTTGAAAATTAAACTCCCACCACCAATCAACCCTTTACCTTTTTTTTTTTTTTTTTTTTTTTAAACAAATGATATTATCTACATTAAGGAAGAGGAGTAGGCTCTTCGCAATAGGCTAGCAATAATGTGATTCAAATTCGCCTAAGACCTCTCACTTACAAATGAAGAAGAATTCTACTAGACTGTAGTACTAAGTGGTCAATCAACCCCTTACTTTGTCGTGGCCTTTTACCTAGCTCGAAACGACATGCATCTTTTAAAGATAATATTTCTAGTTTTAAATCTTCATGTTTGAGTTTGGAATAGAATGCTTTGGGTTATCTTTTATTTTGGGCTAAAAATGTTTATTTCGTTGTTTTATAAAACGATATATACATATATATAAGGAATTGTAATTGGCACTTCAAAAATCTCATTCTACACTCCAAACTTTGTACATCTGGAAAGAAAAATACACTTGTGTGGAGTGTAGGATGAGATTTTTAGAATTCCAATAACACTTCCATATATATATATATATATATATTAAGAGTGAGAAAATAAATTGGTTTCAAACTTGTCATTTACAAGAGTCACCTTTTACTTATTAATTAAGAGGAATACAACTAGACTTTGTTTTGAATAAATCATTTTCTTTAGAAGCTTTATGCTGGATACAAAATGTGTAACCGTTCTAGGGCTCATTTAGAATGCTTTTAAAATGCTTGGAAGCGTTTTAGTGAAAATGTTTTTGAAACCTATCCTTAGTAAAATGCAAGTGAATCCTGGAAATCACTTGAAATGATAATCATATAACTGGTGCTTCTTTCGAAGCACTAAGCACTAAGCACTTCAAGTATTTTTGGAATTCAAAAGCATTTTCTCTAAAAGCGCTTTTCAGTCATTTTAAAACACTTCCTCTATGTGTTTAGCTTGCTTCCCATTTTTCACTTCCATTTTTCCCCTAAATCTTTAAAATTTACTTAAAATTGTTATTGGCATGAATAGAATTAAGGGTTAACTACGCAACATTTTAAGGTGATTCCAAATTTGTCCAAATTGTTATTGGCATGAATAGACTTAAGGGTTAAGTATAGATAACTATGCAACATTTTAGAGTGATTCTAAATTGGTCTCAATCTTTTAAAATATTTTAAATAACTATCTAACGTTTTAAAAATTGGACATTTGTTAGGACACCTGTGTTAAGCGAGAACATTATCAAATCAGGTGAAGTCGTTACTAGCATTAAATGATGAGATGGATAAATACTGAAGTTGGTTTTTACTAATCGTCTTTTTTGAAGCTCTAATCCCCAAAATTGACCATTTTTAGTCAAGTTAAACAGTAAATTTACGTAGCTAAATGCATCAATTTGAATATTAAAAGCTTCATAGATGACTTCATAATTAAAATGCGTTTTAATATTTATCCAGATCATCACTTAGCACTAGTAAACCTAACAGATGTCATTTTTTTAAAACTTAAGGTAGTTAATTGGAGTATTTTAAAAGAATAGAACCAATTTAGAATCACCTGTGAAGGTTGGATGGTTATCCGGATTTAACCCAAGAATTAATATGATAAAATGGAATTAATCAATAATGAAACTCCATCATTTTTTTTAATGAAATGAAAATTTTAAATTTAATGAGCGGACGGGTGAGTCCGTTATCATCGTTTACTGAGCCCAAACGGCGGGGACCAGAGTTAGTCATTTCCCACTAAAATCAAGGACATAATCGTAATTTGGCTACAGCCTCCAAACTTGATCGCATAAATCGTTTGATTGAGAAACTAAACAAAACATTAGTAATTTCATAAATCTGAAATTATTAAAAAAAATAAAACAAAAATACAAAATTTGCGCAGTTCGTGGCCCGACGATTTATTTACTGCCTCCTCCGCGGCTACGCACAATAAAAGAAAAATCTGTGATGCAAAATTGTTGTTCCACGACTACTTAGTATTACGTTTTTTTTAACGGTATTATATTTTACCGGTAAATAAAAAATTTTATGTTTAATTTTTATCAAATACGAATTTGTTTTACTTTATTAATAACTTATTATTATGAAATTAAACCCACCTTCTTTTTAGATAAATCGTTTTTCAAAAGAATAAAAAATCGCCGCCCCTCTTTTATTTATTGTCCTTTTTAAACCGCAATATTCAGTTACAGGTACAGTTTCGAGAACGAGAATATCTGCTTTTACCTCGTTTTCTCAAAATTATTTATTTCCCTTCTTATAAAACGAAATAAAAAATAAAATTACTGTTAAGAACAAGAGAGAGAAAGTGACGAGAGAGAGAGAGAGAGAGAGGGTCGGCGATTTCCAGTAAATTAAAATAAAAAGGAGGGATTTTTCTTCTTTCCCTCCTCCATTTGGCTCTCTCTTTTCTCCTATCGTTGAGGTTTGCGTTTCTAGAGAGAGAAAGAGGAGAGGGAGAGAGGGAGCTTAGGATTTGGATTTGGGTTTGGATTTGGGATTTGGGATTTGGAATTTGAATTGAATTGAATTTGGTGGTAGTATTTCTCTTTTTCTCTCTGTCTCAACTGTCGCCCGCGTGTTCAACTCGCGTGGTGGCCCAGCACTACGTGACAGACGAAGCCAAACACAAAGGAGAGAGAGAGAGCGAGAGAGAGAAAGCAAAACAGGAATCAAAATTTCAAAAGCCTTTCCCTTTTCTTCTTCCTCTTCCGTTTCGCGATTCATCAAAATTTGTACGCGTTTAATGCTCTCTCTCGGATCTCCAGGTCGCAATCCGTGATCCCCTTCAGAACCCACCTATAAAACGACCCCGTTTTGCTTCCCTTCGTCTTCCTCCTCGCATTCGATTCGATTCTGGAGGTGCCCAGCAATCAATCATGGAGGTGTTGAACTTGTGAAGTAATATGGAAGTTGTGGTTGCGTCAATAAGAACAACAAGAACAATAACAACAACGAGTGGAAGAAGATGACGCTTTACATTGGCCGCGAGTCGTCAAAGGTTTGCTCTTTTTATTCACTTTGCAGTAATGCCCTTTTGTTTTTCCCTTTTTTAATTTTAAAAAAAATTGAGTTTTTGCTTTATTTGTTCTTTACTGATGGTGGTCCTTCTTTCGGTTTTTCTTTTTTTTCGGGGTCTGATTTGTGAAGCTCTGGAAGAGAATCTGCGCTGAGGTAGTCACCGAGATCAATCTTCTCGCCACGAATTGGAAGTATCTTCTCGCCGGTCTAGTTTTTCAGGTGCTTCTTTGTTCTTCTATACGTCTACCTTTTTGGGTTTTTGAAATTCGGAGGGTTCAGGTGAATTTTGTTGAGGATGGTTTTTTTCTGATCGGACAAGTGATTTAGCAAGATGGGATTTTCGCTTTGATGGAGAGAACAGAGAAAGTGGGAGGTTGGTTTTGGTAGAAAGTTCGATCATGGTTGGTTGCATTGGGAACTTTGAGAGAAGATGTATGCTTTTGAGCGTTGGAGGAAGTTCCTATAAGTTTACTAGTGTGATTAGTGTTAAACTTCAAGTTGTAGCAAATTTCATCTCCAAATGATTGATGGGTTTCTATCAGTTTCAGTCCTTTGGATGAGAAAAGTTCCCGTGTGATCGTTGCGATTTTTAATCTTCTTCTCATGTTGGTAATTGATCTTTATATTTCAAGTCTATCTCATTTGCAGTACATACATGGTCTAGCTGCTCGAGGAGTTCATTATATACATCGGCCCGGGCCAACGCTCCAGGATGCTGGTTTCTTTCTTCTTCCAGTTCGTACCTATCATTTTATCTTTGTGAAACTATATAGTGTGAATTTGATCATACAAAGTGCTTTCCTATATTTATTTTTTGGTATTTTGGAATAATGAGTTTTGGTGTTTTTGTAGGAACTTGGGCAAGACAGAGCCTACATCAGTGAGACCCTTTTCACCTTCATCTTCTTATCTTTTGTATTGGTAAGGTTCTTCTGTGTTCTCCTTTGTCATATTGCTTTCATCTCTATCTCTTAATTACACGTGCCGATGTTCTGTTCAACAGTGGGAGTTGTGGTTGTGGATATATTGGAGAAAACGGTGTGTGAAACAAAATCCATGTTGTTTCTGATATTAGGATGCATGGAAGGCATCAAGTCCAATATTGTAATTTACACTTTGAGATGTGATGATTTATTGTTTGAATGGTGATTAAAAAGTGTTTTTTGTTTCAATGACTATTGATTCTTTGGTTAGCTTTGATGCGTATTTGTGTTCAGAAGGCCAGGATATAAAAGTGAAATGAAACATTATTGGTGGTGACTTAATCGGAAGCAGTTCTACATCACTAATACTTACGCGCTTCAGAATTAATAGTATTTTCCTGATTAATTTTTCCCAATTTCTTTAACAGAAAATGCCATGGGACGTTTTTCCTCCCTTTTGATAGTTTCTTTATTTAATATTCTTCTTTTCTTTATAAGTTTTAAAAGTTTAGGCGTGTTTTATGCAATACCATCTTTTAAATTAGAGCACTTAAATTTAACATGTTATCTGCTGTCCATTTAGGGTTTTAATTTTATTTCCTTATGAACTTTCTAGGGTGTCTTTTTCTTTGATTTATTAATATGTCTTCATCTTATTGCGCACTATTATTATGGTTTATTCTCTAACAAGTACCAGTCAGGCTTGTGAGCTTCACAGGAAAGTTCAGTTTTATTTATATTTTTCCTCATGTGGTGCATGTTCTGTTGCAGTGGACCTTCCATCCTTTCATTTTCAAGGGCAAAAAGATTTACACAGTTCTCCTCTGGTGTAGGGTTCTAGCATTCTTATCAGTAAGTGGTGATAACATGTTTTGAGAAGTTAGTTCTGTGATAAAACTGAGAAATATTGATTCATTTTGGTTTGATATGTGAACTTTTATTTTATTTACATTAACTTGTACCTTGTCTGACAAACTCATAAGAAACTTATGACAGTTAATTTGATGTTTTGGACCATAAGATTTCCAATTTTTTTCTGCTGATTTTGCGTCATTTCATGAGTTCCTTTCTTTTCTAGGTGCTGTTAGAGAGATAAATTGGGTAAAAAAATTTTGTTTTTCAAAAAAGAAAACAAGGGTTTGTCATTTAACTTGTGCCGTGAACCCATGTTTTATAGTTTTAATCATGTAGTAGTCTAGGCACGGGGCTGGTGACAAATATATTCCCTACCTTTTTGGTCTGACAGTTTCCACTGTTTATTGCAGGCTTGTCAGTTTCTGCGGATTATCACATTCTATTCCACCCAGCTTCCTGGTCCAAATTACCATTGTCGAGAGGTAGGTTGGTTGTTTACCTTTTTGTCGGTTTTGTTGTATACCCTAGGATGTAGTATAGAGTAGAGATTACGTTTTATTTATGTTTGAATTTATTTCTCTATTGGCGGGGTACAAAACTCTCTGTATGTTGTAATAAGCTAAGAAGCTCTATTTTAATTGTGCAGGGTTCTAAACTTGCCAGGCTGCCTCCTCCGGAAAGTGTATTAGAAGTCTTCTTGATCAGTAAGTTATCTTCTTGTAGTCCGGGCACTTGGCATATTACTTCACATAATATGTTTCTGTGCTGATTTGTGTTTGCTAAATATGCAGTTCCGCATGGTGTACTTTATGGTTGTGGTGATTTGATTTTCTCGTCACATATGATATTTAGTCTAGTCTTTGTGCGCACTTATCAGAAATACGGTACACAAAGGTAAGCATAGCTTTGGCTCATGGCTGACATCAATTTTAAGTGGTGGTTATTTGACTTGCTGCTGAGATAAATATGCTGCTTTTGATTTGTTGATCAATGCAGGTTTATAAAGCAGTTAGCTTGGTTACTCGTTGTGATCCAGAGTTTCTTGATTGTGGCATCCCGCAAACATTACACGGTTGATGTTGTTGTTGCATGGTATGGAGATTTTTGCATACTTTCATCTTTACCTATGTTATAAAAGCATGTAAGTATTGTTTCTAACTTCTTTATTTGGTTGAACAATATGATCTCCTGCAGGTATACTGTTAATTTGGTCGTATTCTTTATCGACAAGAAATTGGCAGGTGAGGATGCCTCCATTTTTTTTTCGTTCTGTTTTCTCCATATTTTTGGATGCCAACCAATGAGCAGTGATACTAACATAATTGTAATTGCAGAATTACCTGACCGGACCAACGGAGCTGCATCTCTCTTGTTACCGCTAAGCACAAAGGACAAGGATGGTAAGACCAAAGAAGAGAACCACAAGCTATTGAATGGAATTGTCGGAGACCCTGCTGATCGGGTATAGTGAATCTTCATGAGTAAATTCTATTGATATCATCATACCAGCACCATTTTGTGATCTGGGCAATCATCTTACAAACTTTTTGCTGCTATATATATCCAGAGACAAAGAACTCAAGTTAACGGCAAGACTCTAGATGACGTAAACACAGTACATGCTGATGCTACAATGAACGGTGCATAGAACGGAAGGATTATGTCGTTGCAACAAGGTGACTTGATGTGATTTGTTTAATAGGGGCCCTGGGTTTGAAAGTTGTGTCTTGTGTGTGTTACGGGTTCTGTGCTGGAAACACGACGTGATTTGTATTCTAATAGAAAAGGGATTGGGGTTGGTTTTTGTGTTTTCCAGTCCTGCTTTTGTTCTAGTTCAGATAACACCAGCATCTTCATGCACAATAGATCTTAGATGATTTTCCCTTCAACTTGCCGGTAAAATGGGCCGAATAGTCTGGTTAAGAGGACTTACCTGCACTCGGGATGTTACTGTGGTAGTATCCCAAATCAATACACATTACCATGTTTTTTATTTGTTCCAAAGTGTTACTGGTTTCAAATACCGCCACAATAGTATTCCAAGAGTTGGACATTGTATTAGACGTGGACGAGAGGGGAAGAGGGCATATGATGGTATATGTGCCACCACCCCCTACATTGTTCTGCAGTTTTTCCTTTTGAGTAGGAACTTGGAAGTTGGAAGGACCCCCTCCCCAACAAAATTGAGACCTCACCCTCACATGTGCCCTCTTCTCTTATCACGTGGAGGGATAACGTGCTTCCTATCTTTTACTCCCCTAACAAACTCAAATTCTAAATGCGGTTAAGTTGCATTTTCTTTAACATGGGGTGAAAAATATTTGGTATAAAAGTTGGCATGCTTAGACTATAATGGTCCATGATTAAACCCCAAGGGGGCTTTAGTTTGCCCTCATTAAAGTTCACTAGACTGGACAAAATTAAGGGTTAGTCCAGCTTCATGTTTGTTCCCAACAAGAATTAGCTTTAGTGAGACTAGTTCTCACTCGCCTTGACTACAGGCAGGACTATCCGGTCTTAGCGAGTACCCTCGAGAACCATGGGACTAGCTAAGACCATCATCTCTCTCATCCTTGTCTTGTTGGATGACTACTCACGGCCACTCCTTGTGACGTCTGACCACACATTATCGTTAACTTTCTGATTTGACTATCTCTTTCAAATACGTTTCACAACCAATTTTCACATAAAAAATATACCAAACTAAAGTTGGGAGTGAGGGGATGGTGAGTAGTTTGTTGGTGGTGCTAACCTCATCCAATTCAACGAGGTTTGGTCAGAAAACATGATAGAAAACCTGCAACTCGTCGGAAAAAATGGAGATGTGAGGTTTCGTCGAATAACACAGAGCTAGAGTGAGGGAGAAAGGAGAGAGAGTGTGGAATCGAGAGGGAGTTGGACAGAAAAAAGAGAGAGATAGAGACTGGAATTAACATATCTAATCTAGGAGAAGGAAGGGTGGGACTGGAGAGGGAGAAAAAGAGGGAGAGAGTGACGGTGAAGGAAGGAAAAGAGGAAGAAAAAGATAGGTTAATAATAAAATATTAATTAATTAAATAACATAATATTATTTATTCTGCTTTTTAGTCCGACAGTGCACCAAACGCTTCATTAAGCTAGTCTAGCTTAGTCTATTCTAAGCCAATCCAGCTTAATCCCTCAAGTTAGTCCAGTCCGAGATAATCCAATGTAACAAACGCACCCTAATATCTCCCCCCTTCATCATTTCTACCCAATTATTCCGTTGAAACCAATCCTTTATGCATCCCAACGCATTGCGTCGGACACTCACAAGAATCATATAAATCTCATTTTCATACAAGTTTCATCTGTGTATTAGTGCCTCGACACAGTGCACGTGAAAATTTCTCGTCCCAAACCACGTTCTTCGATCGAGCTTATGCACGCGTGAGCACATATGTTCATGTCAAACATATAGATGAATGGTGATTTGAACTTAATCCATGTAATTGATCATTGCAAACAAGATCTTTAAATTTGTACTTTTAATAATTATTTTCTTTTTGCTTGGTTAAATTATAGTTTGAAAGACATGGGCTAGATCACAGAAAAATTGCTTGCTAGGCCATGTGAGCTTTTTTGTTGATACTCGACAGCATGGAGGCCCCAATGTGCCTGCCTCATCCCCCTCTCTTCACTCATGAGTTATATGAGATGCATAATGCCATACTTGGTTGCCATGGCCAGAAAGCACGCAGGCGCAATTTCAGCTGCAAAAAGTTGGTCAACAAGTGTATTATTTGTCCAATACACAGTTGTTATGTGGTCCGGTAATATGAAGAGCAATCTACTTGATACAGGTAGATTGTAACTGAATCGTCTTGTGTCAACGAAATAAAGTCGCGTATAGAAAATCGTAAAATACAATGTTGGGACAATACAATGACAATGCACCTGTGTTGTAAAAATCGTTGTCATGTGAAGTAAGAGGTGAAAAATCATGATTGAGGCATGTCTAGGCTTTTAAAAAACGCACCACTTTTCTCCATCGATTTGCTTTTTTTCTTTCTTTTTAATGTGTAAAGGAAGGGGTCCTCTAGACACCCATATGGGTGCATGTTACACTGTTACTACTTATAGCAACACTTGTCACACTATTGTCTGATCAATCATGCTCATCTTTCATTTTTTTTTCTCTTGTTTGGGGAAACATGCAATAGGTAAAAGGTTGATCTGGTTTTTCCCAAAAAGAAAAGGTTAAATTTGATCGACTAAGCCTTCAACAGTAATTCAGGCGAGTGTGATACTATACGTAAGAATTAGATCTCGTGAATTTGATTTGTATTATACTATTATTTCAGTGGTGTGAGTTTGATACAGATGAGTTTTATATATTAAATACAGGACCCATCTACTATATTGTATAAGTATTACACTCATGAGAATCACTCTTGTATCACTTAGATTTTCCGAACCTACTGTAGATGTTTGCTTCTATATTATTGGTATCATAATCAATTTCCCGGTCTAGTGTGGGAGTCCTAGTTCTCTAAAACAAGTAAGTTAAAAGACTGTTAAGTAACAATGAAAAGTTGCTTGTTTGGCCACAACGTGCATAGCCAATTTTACCCAACATTGGACTTTCTATTGCTACAATCTGAAGACGGGTAAAAAGTTAAAAACGATTCTCCTTCTATAATTTGGAATTGCCCCCCTTCCAAAAGCCAAAGGAACCTAGTCAAGGTACAACTTTTGTTTTTCTTTCTTGTCTTGTAACAAATGTATCTCTCTCTAAAATATACGTGTCACAATGAGAGAAACTATATACAATGAATGATTGGGCATATTTTCTTCACTTGATCAGCCTCCATCATGTAAAAATCATCAAATGTAACAAGCAAGAGGTTGAGATTGCAAACACGTGGCATGTGTATATCAGTATTAGGTATAGTGTAGTTACCTTGAATCCGAATAGACACGTAATTGCATATCACCGGTAGTATGACAAATTTTCTCGACGGACCCTCCTTTGTTATGTTCAGAGTAGAAAATATAGTGAGCCTTACTTGCATTAACAAATTAATTACCCTTGTACGACTAATTTGCAATCTACCTTATCTTTAATACACACATTATCGTATACAACTGATTATATAACAGATTTTCTCGCATGACCACTTTATGTTACGTAAAGATCAGTAAATATGGCGCGGAGACGTTAAGATCGCAAACACGACTTTTGATAGCAGTATTAGTAATTGTATTAACAAATTAGTTACCCGTAATCATGATACAACAAGGCATTGTATGCATGGAATATCTCTACCATTAAAATTAAAAGTCATCATCTTTTAGGCATAAAGAGAGACCAATTAGGCCAATGTTGTCACACATCATAACGGTGAATAAAGTTTTGTTTAAGGCCAAGATTGTCACCACCAACTACCATCAATTCGATTGTTTGTCAACATTTTGTAACGGAATAATGGCCTCCCTGAGATGGGACCCTACTTGTCAATTTGTGAAAGAAAGTGGGGAGATCATATAATGTGTATAAACTGATGGGGACTAAACAAAACATAAAATCCAATCTTGAATATCTGAAAAACTTAAGTAGCGGTGTCCGACCACCTTATTGCATACGTGCGTTTACAAAATCATAAATATTGTTCAAGTTTAGTCCTATCTTATTTAAAACAGGTCATATTCGGTGTGAGAGCTAATCTAGTCACGTATTCTACGACTAAGAGAGATATTAGGGCGTGTTTACGCACCCGTAATCGGAATGAGAATAAAAAGTCTAATTCCGATTACGGATCATTCTTGTGTTTACTACGATATTGAAGAATCAGACTTTGTTGGGCCCACATAAAAAATGGAATTCAACTTTTTTTTTTTGGAGGAATTGAATTCTTTGATAGAGGGTGAGAATGCATGATTTTTACCAATTATACCCCACATATTTTATAAAATGCGAAGTTTGCCTATGGTGTATTTATAGTAGTTTGGAGATAATGACCTAAACAAAAGCAGTTAGAGAAATTAAAGTCTGCCTAGGGTGTATTCATAGTAATTCGGATAAACGCTTAATTGCAGAGCAAGTTTACAACGAAATAGGTCTCTATGTAGGGGAAAAAAAAGGTTTCAAATATATGGAAAAGGGGCAAAAAAAAATTATGCATTATATTGTAAAGAGGTAGAAAGTATTCTACTTGATTTCAGACAGTTCAGTAAATAACTTATATTTGAATTCAATTCTAATTCTTTCTCAACTCAATTGCTCTTAAATTGATTATAGATTAGTAAACGTACCATTACCGAGGAGTAATTAATCAAAAGAAAGAATTTTACACACCAACTCATCCATTAGTTTGTTTGACTTTGTTGACCCCATTAAATTAACAAAACAAAACGGCCATTGATTTGACCACTAACACTAATCCACTCCCTTGGAGAAAAAAAAATGAAAAGACAAGAAAAGAGAGGGAAAAAGATCATGACTTTGCAGAAGAAAAAGGCCCTTTCCTTTTCAAATTTTTTGCAACATAAAACAGAGCCACTCGCACTCTGAAAGTCTGACACACACACCAAGCGTGAGAGACACATTCACACTGATAACCACCTCCCAATGGGATCCCTTCAAATCCAAACAATAACACTAATTAATTAACAATTTAACAATAATAATCATCTTAAACACTAATTAAGAATTTAATTTGATTTTTTTTTATAATGTATTTTTTTATATTTACTTTGTTAACAGTGAACTTGCTGGGAGCAGCTACTTGGACTGAAAGCTCCTGAGAAATGAATCAGCTTTGGATCCAGAACTTTACTCTCTGAACTCTGAAGATTCAAAAACTGCAACCTCCTCTGTTTTCCTCTGTTTCTCTCTGATTGATGTCCACCGTCTGATCATCTGACTTTC